AACAAATCTGAGAGGACACTTTACTGTTTCAGAGGTCGCTTTTGCCTCGAGCATGAAGTCGGCGCTCTTCGAAAAACAATTCATGCCCTCTTGTTGTTGATTCCCTTCAGATAGACGTCACTGGAGAATCATGTCAGTACGTCATGCTTCAGAATCGACCAGTTCGGCAACTGGAGATAGAAAAGCATCAAGAGGCTGAGAGTGAACAAGGCAATGGTAGACTCACAAGATGAGGGTGGCGTTCCTCGGAATGAGATCCCCGAAACCACTACAATTCAAACCATTAGTCAGGATATAGGAACCGGAAAAATAGGGCAAATATTAGTTGAGTAGTCTGTCGAGGGCATGAAGCTATGCCAAGTCAAAATCTTGGGCGGATGCCGGTTTCTCTCCCACACCGCACGGTACACAACGTATTGATTCCGTATGGTTTGCTTGGTGACTCGACAGGGCAAGGGAGTTTGCTAGGCTGCAAGGATAGGAGATTTGGTGAGATACTAACCGGTCGCCGTACGCCATATGCCTGAATTCAATGTCAGCTGATTAAGTCCATCGATAGTTCAATCAATGACTCAAGCGTAGCCTCCGAGGCGGTCAACCGAAAGGAAAGAACGAGCTAGTGTCGTTCGAATTCCTCCCAACGAGCAGGATATGTACGTTTGGAGCATTCCCACGACTAGATTGACAACGAAGTAAAATGAGAAACGAAGATCTCAAAAGACTCACCCTGGAATTGTCAATCTGCTCTTCTCACCCAAAGACATTCTGGTCACGCCCTCATCCCAACCTGCGGGAACGCATTGTTTAAGGATCACTGCCGAAGTGTAGGTGACACTGAAATCCATACCTTGAATAACTCTACCGACCCCAATCGCAGTCTTGAAATCCCCGCGGCCCACTGAGCTGTCGAATCTGATGAACAAGTCAGAACACGCCATTTGAAAGTGGCGGCCACTTGTGAGCGAGAGGTCTTACTGGGAACCCTTGAAGTCCTCATCGGGATTTGAGGCATCGTACAACCAGCCGGTGTATTCGATGAGGACCTCATCGCCCCTGGTTGGATAGTCGCTGTTGTTTCCCGGTGAGAGGATCACTTTCTGTAGTTGGGATGCCATGGCTGTTGCCGAGTTGGAAAAGCTTGATCTCTACCGAGTAGTTGTTTGGGAGTTGGAGGTGGACTGAGGAATTTGTGAAAGGGTTGTGAGAGACAGGTGTTTTGGAAAATTTAGGAAGAAAAGTCATGAGAGGTCAAGCCTGAATATATTGGGCAACTGGTGGCGGTTGCATACGAATGGCAATCTGCATTTGATGGTGGGGGGAAGAAGACCGAAGGACGAAGTCACGAATTGATGGCCTTGGCAGGAACGCAATCAGCCCTCCAAATAAAAGGCAAGAGCGAGTGGAAATGGTTGGCTGCTACCGAGTTCTCATTCCCTATAAGGAGGGGAGGAGGGGGGAGGGGACGGCGGGCACTGACTGGAGCAGCTGGTGGACTCGAAGGCCAGCGGCAGGATCAAAAGGCGACGGGAAATGCTTGCCAACAACCCACTTTGGATAGGTTCTGCGCGAGTGGGCAGAGGGAGAACAAGAAGACAAGACAACAAGCCAGAGGTATCCTTGTATTCTCGGCTGAGCTCGCGCGTATGAGTGGCAGACGGCGGCAGAGAATTGACTTCCCGGCCAGACTCAGATGCTCACGCCTGGTTTTGCAGGGGCTGACCTTGACTTGGATACAACGAAAGCGTCAATGAGGTGAGAAAGCTCTGGGAGATCCGAAGTTTGAACAAGTCGTCGTCGGGGGACAGGGATAGAGGGCGCTAAACAAGCAGGGGTTCGAACACATGAAGACCAGGGCATGCGAGACAGATTGGAAGATTGAGGTTGAGGGGATGAATGGGGCAAGTCCAAAGCCAAAGGGTTCCGGAAGAGATCGGATCAGAGAAGACTTGAGTCAAAGATGCAGCGGACATGGTTCTTCGCTAGAAGGGAAGGCAAAAAGGAAAAGCAATGTCGACCCAAGATGCTGATCTGTCGGAAGGACGGCGAAGAGGGGCAGCGACAGGAGCGCAGGCGCAAGAGGCAACGCAGGCACCGCAGTCTGCAGACACTGGAGGCGGTGCGGGGCAATCGACTTGTGCTGGGTAGGTACACAACTCTCACTCTCATTTCACTTTCACCTCAACCATTCTATTACGCCGAGTATATTTTCCCTCCCTTTGCGCCTTTAATTTGCATAATAAAGCAATCGACTTCCACATGCAGTCCACTCGTGCACGGCGCCATCGACCGCATGGCTGAATCCTCATATTTGCCATCAGCTCCGCCTTCGTCTTTGACAAAAAGGTACCCCTAAACAGGAAATTCCTGGGAGTGACATCGACGCTACCCAGGGCTACCAAGGGCTACCCAGGACTACCGAGGACTAGCACTCAGGACGACCTCCTCACTAGGTACCGCTACTTGGACCAAACATGCTGATCAGGCGGGATGGTCTTCCTTCTTTTCTGACTGGTTTCGGGTGCCTTGTGCATTCCTAGCGCACCAATCCGCACCCGCTAGCCGTCTGCCCAAGTACAGCATCCAGCATCTGGTGTTTGCTGATCTTTGTATCCGAACTTCCAGCTACTAGGAAGGTGACGCCTCGTACCTTCCAATCACTGCTGGAACGGCTCAACTCGCCGCATGATAGGGCTCCTCCAACCAACAATTGCTGCCTAACCATCCAAGAACTCCATGGCCCTCATCATCTGTCTGGACTTAACGAGTTGGCCCGACATGTCATCGCCGCGTCCCACATCTGACAGGAACATCAGCCTCACCCAGATCTTTGGTTGACCAAAGCAGCCATCCAATCCTGGTCCGACACATGTCGGTTCTGGTGTCCTTGGATAATCTGCCCCGGGATGACTTTTTCAACCCATCCTCCCTTTTGACCTCGTACATGCACTAGGAACCAACATCCCTGTCGTGTGCGGTTAGTAGATTGAGTCGGAGAAATCACCCCTGTCAATTGGGCTCGCCACTGCTGTCTTTTCATTCGGCGCTTTAGACAACCGATGCTGCTCCTTGGTCTTCATCTCTCGACCATTCTTGAATTAACGGCTGTCCATTGGCACGTGATACACATGACCCGTCGATCCACACGATGGTGGCTCCCAGACGGTAGTTGACACCACGCAGTTCTTGGGACTATGCTTTAGTTCATCCCACGATTCCGTGTTCCCCGTGGGCAGCTGTGCGTCCGTTTCTTCGCTTGAAATACTAATCATCGTTCACAGTGCCTCGCTTGCCGCATTTCCTCCACGCCGGATTCACTGCTGAACTTCGGATATTGTCGACCTCAGGGGTTGTCGACAGAGATGTTATGGACTGACGTCGGCATGCATGGACGACATCAAACAAGGTCTGCGCCTTTGGTGACTACTCCACGCAGGAGTACTCCTTATGCATCAACATTGGAAAGCTACAGCCGTGGCGCCGCACATGACCTATCTTCACACAGCCCAGAAGAATGTGAGATCGCGTGATATTGACGCCCCTCTTTTGCGGTTGACGATTCTGATCAGTCCCCTGTTGGCCCGGCTGGGAAGGCGGAACGACGACAGCTTCCAACACGCCGGCGATATTCCATCCGAACTATGTCAAATATTCCGCTCTCGTGTAAATGGAAGGCTAGTCACCAAATCTGTTGCAGCTGTCGTCAAGTAATAGTCTTCTCATTTTCCCCAAAATCTATGTTCTCTCAGCTCTTTCAGCCCCATCTGTTGAGCACGCAAAGCCTGAAAGCGATCGTCATGTATCTGACCGTGTGCCTCCGTGGGTTCGCGATGGCTCAGAAAGGTGACAGAGATGATACCCACCTTTTCCAAAAATGCCAGGACGCGTGGGTAACTATGGGCGATCTGATCGACACCGTGGCTGTCGTCAGACAAGCAAAACAGGATGCCTCGCTCCAACGCTGCCTGGCAAATTTCCCCTTTTGGGTATGGCTCGTCCATGCCCTTCCTCACTGCCGAAGAATTGATTTCCAGTATTCCACCGTAAGAGGTAATGCAATCCAGATTGCGCAAGATCCGCGCCCACACCCCCTCCATCTCCCGAAAACTCTGGTTCGGATCGTCGCTCTTCAACCGAATGAGATCAAAATGCCCTACCACGGGCGGTCTCAGGGCCGTCAACATGGCAAACTGAGCGTCAAAGTAGTCTTCAAAGATCCTCTCGTCTGTGCCGCCTGCCTTGGCTCGCGCGTCACGGTACATAGCGTGGTCGTAGTCGATAGGGATGGTGTGGACGTGGTGCACCGAGCCGACGAAGAAGTCGTAAGGGTACTTGGTCAGGCTCTGCTTAATCAGGTCCTCAGACTCAGGACGGATCCACTCCCCTTCAAACCCCAGTAGAAGCCCTATCCTGTCCTTGTATTTGTGGCGCAAGCGGAGAGCCTCGGCGACATAGGCCTCTTCATTTGCAAGGTGCGTCTCGAGCGTCGACATCTCTTCCGGGTACCGGTCTTGGTCGTGCCGGGGCATGTGTTCAGTGAGCGCGAAGACCGACATCTTCTTGGAGATGGCCATCTGAATTACGTCTTCGAGGGAGTCTCGCGCGTGGCCGGGGCAAAACTGGCCCGAGTGGGAGTGGTGCGAGAATGGCATCTCTTTTCCCTCGACACTGAGGTTTTGAATAAGCTGTAGCTTGCGCCAAATAGCGGAAGGAGGTTCTGTAAAGCGATAGCTAGCTGCTGTTCAATATTATAGTCTCTCCGTCTGCCCTCAACGGTCCTAGGTCCTCACCTGATTTCGTCATTTACTGCAATTGTTCAAGGAATAATCAATCCAGAGAGCTACCTCAACTTGCTTCATATGTCCCGTTCATCCCGAAATTCACCCGGCTACCACCCCTCCTGCTCCCCCACCAATCCATCCCACCCGATCCAGGCCTTTCCTATCGTCTCCCTTTTCCGTAAAATGAAACATCCATGTTTCGAAACGGGAACAAAAAAAGAACGAGGAACATGGGACTCGAACCCACAACCTTGGCTTTTCACTAGAGCCCTCCATATCTAGTGATGGACACTGGAAGGGAGGTAGGAGAGCCACGCGCTACCATTGCGCCAATCCCCCTTTTCAATAGAGCAGGAAGATAAAATCTCGTCGAAAATCTGTGGCTGAATTTGGCAAAATTCCAGCATTTTCTGCGATGTTGATATATATAAAGCAGTATTTGAGGTCACGTGATACGACCTGCGTTATGGATATTTCTGTATGATAAAAGATGAATGCCAAGCCGTCACTTCCTATTACCGAGTACAGCCTAATCAGGCAACTCCAGCTCTCTTATTTAATATTATAGCCTCGCAGCATCACTGAGGGTAGACAGAGGTCAACTGCACGGCTGATTTTGAGTAGGGAGACCCACGATATCAAATGAGAATCCCCGCCACATTTTCCATGACACCAACGATCGTCCAATGTGTAAACATCGCAATTCCTTCACAGCCATCCTCGCTTCCTGCTCATGGCGGACACGCAGTCAATCCGACTCATCAGAAATGACTATCAGCATTATCGGTCTCTCGACCAGACGAGAAGAGAGGTTCGACTCCTGCGCATTGGGCCAGCGCAATCCTCTCAAGAAGATTTAGTCTTCTCCCTTGTGCGCACGGAGCTCGACAATTGCCCATAATTTACCGCCATTTCGTACTGCTGGACCGATAGTCTGGAAGAGACTCTACCTGTCTCACTCACCTTCTGTGAATCCACTTATCTCAACTCATCACATGCAGAGAATGATGTCGGCTACACCAGTAGACAGTCTGGTCGCACGGATAACAATACCCTAATATCAACGGTTATGTTCAATATCACTACTAATCTCCATGCTGCTCTACCAGCTTTTGGCTCATCGACGGATCGGATGTTCTCCTTTGGGTTGACATGCTTTGCATAAGTTAATCTGATAGTCTCGAGCGATCTCATCAAGCAGCTTTCATGGATAAAATTTTCACCGGGGCCTCAAAAGTCCTTGTCTGGCTCGGCGGCGAGGTGGAGACTCCGTCGGATAATTTGCCAGCAAAAGATTGCCAGATTTTGAATTTCTTCAACATTATAGGGCCAGACGGTCTAGAAAACAGCATACATCCTTCTTCATTCAACGGCCTTGAAATCGACGTCTTGGTGATCCCGATGCGCGAAGAATCCTGGAAGATTTGATCAAGTTGTGGATGCCTGACGAGTTCCACGAGACCTCGATATTGTTACTCTTCACGCAATTTGGTTCACTGGGTGTGTTCTATTCGCTCACCTCTCCAGGGACCACAGACTTGAAAGTATAAGGCGGATTCTTGACAGCCTCAAACATACTGCCGATGGGCCATCGCCCATATGGGAGGTCTATAGGGACTTGCGCAGGATAAGAATTGAAACACCGGCTTCTAAGTTACTGGGTACACTCGCATGACGAGATCAAAGTGGCAGATAGATCAGGTCTGCCATGTTTTCAGAGGTTATCGATATTATTCGCCAACAATTAGTTCTATCGCATCTGGGCACTACAGGAAGTATTGAAGGGCAATATGTGCAGGTGCGCCATGGTCACACGACTATTCACTGGCAAACCATTCACTGGCTCGCAGATTGTTACAATCATCTTCCAGCGTTGGCAAGTGCTGAAGCAACGGCCAGGGGAAAAGCCACAGCCATTACCGTCACGCGGACAGGCTGCTCGAAAGGGCATCACATTCGAGTGGGTAGGAGAATGTTATCTTGAAGGTGCCATGGATGGCGAGTTCTTCCAAGGCCCTCGGTTGTCCTAGAGAGATCTACTATACGACGACTTTGGGGACTACGATCCTGCATTCACGTCTCGGCGCACGAGAGAAAACTATCGGAGGGGAGTTTACAGGAAGAGACCCTTTTCAATCGCGTAGAGATTCGGCTTTGTGATGCTCTTGATGGAGAATATATTCGAAACCAAAGAATAGTGTCCGTTATACTGTGTAGGATTAAGGCGGCTTTTCGCTCGTTATCCCGAATCAAACGGCATTTGTCAAGCAGGGTTTTTCCGTTTGCGAATAATATAAGGTAAACTCGATATAGTAGTACAGGCTTCGTGTGATTTCATTCAAGGTCATAGTCAACAATCAACCTCCAAGGTGAACCCAAAGAACGGTTCCCACGTAAATCTACGACCAAAACAGCACGACTTGCCATTGGCAATGACATCTCTCGCCCTAGCTCACTCACATAACAACACTTGTGAGCCCTGCACCTATAGAACCAACAAAGTGAAGCTGTGACCTGAATTAGCGCTGACGCCGGCGGTGGCGACGCTCAGGAAGGTGATGGGTAAATCTTGTTGAGCTCCAGCGTTCGCGGTGAGGTTGTTGGTAGCTTTCATTAAACTCTTTTTTCCCTGGCTTCTTCGGCCCGAATTTGGTTGTCCAGCTCACCTCTCCTCCCTCAATCTTGCTCCCATTTGTCGTATTCCTTGTCGCTCTCAGCTCTGAACTTGTCGAGATCCCTGTGGGTGTGTATGATCATCTGTGCTTCTCGGCTGCGTAATTCTTTTATTAATTATTTGATGCTTTATGGCACCTACGTCTCGAAGCTCCGCTTTCATATCGTCCCCCATTTCATTTGGTATTTTTGCAATGAGGATATTCCTCCTCCTTTTCGTCTGCTGAATCTCTGCTCTTTTCTGCTACCCCTTAGCTGTTTGATCTTGTTGACATTTTACTGTTCTTCAGTACATACCTGCTTGAGACGTGTGTGGCTGCGAGATATATTCTGGCTTATCTTGAGTCTCTTCTCCCTAAGCCCGTCAATCTTTTCTTCGATCTTCTTTATCTTCTTCTTCCGCATATTATCAAGCACGTCTCTGATCATGTCCTTGAGACGATCAGCTGCCAGCGATTTGGATTCCTCTACCCATCTTTTTGAGGGCTTTGCACAATGCTGGGGCTAATTTGTCATTCGTTGAGCTTCCCCAATTCGTAGCGGGAATCAATTCCTTCGCATAAAGTTGCTGGTCACCATCTGGTGGCCGTAAATCGGCATCTCCGGCTGCACAACAATCGAGGGTGACGAGTACCGGGTACTCAGCTTTCATGGCGAGATTTCGAATGACAGCCCAATGCACCTCGTGATAATCATTCTTTACCGGTTGGTCAAGTGTAGGCCGAACGCAGCGAAGGGTAGAATCAACCCACCCCTAAGACTTCTTGTCTTCATGACTCGAACGAAGTCGGATGGCGATTTCGGGGTAATGAAGTAGAAGTATGTGATTGGTGTCTGACCTTGAAAATCTGAGTTCTTGATTGAGATTTACACCACCATGTCCATGATAATAAATGATTCGGGGCATCTTTGTTTTGCTCATTAGGTCCCTCATCACCTTTCTCGAAGACCTTTTCTAATTTGGCCTCTAAGGCGACATTCCGCCTGTCACTAGTCGACATTTCGAAATGGTCTATCAGGCAAATTGATATCATCAAATGCATCTATAACATCCTCACCCTCCTCCTTTAAGTAGTCAATATCCGTATGTTCAAAGGAGAGGGCCAATCATTTCACAAGTGGTGCTGGCATTTTGGACGGCGGGATGGCTTTATCGGAGAGGGTTTCGGGTGGGATGGATCGCTATTTCGGCTCGCTCGGTGTAGCTGATTGATTGAGATGGTTGGATTCTGCCTGGCAATGTTTGCTGTCGATCAAGCAAAGCAGGCTTCGAGAAGATGTACCCTGTAGATGAAGGATGATCCCCGGATCCCTTGGTTTGGGCAAGAAAGTAAGTTTGGAGTTGGCGAAGATCTTGGATGCGGGATGGAGGGGCGGATACATATGTAAGCGGGGGCAGCTGAGAGTCGTAAGCAAATGAGCAAGGTGACAAGAAACCCACAGAGGAGACGGTTGCCGCGTGGAATGGACTCAAAGAGACTAGCTCTAGGCCCTACACCGAGTATAACCGCTACTATTCTGAAGTTAGCAATTCGTTTTGATACATTGGGCATTAAGATCAACCGTTTTAATGTGGAAATCGAGGAAGACCGCGGCAAACGGGCTTTTCATTCACGTCTTCGAGGAAAGGCGTTTGGGAGTTAGAAATGGAACAGAACACGCTCGGTTGTCAGAGGTATCGACTCTTCCGTTTCATTTCATTTCATTCAAGGGGCTATACACGCCGTGTGCCTCCTCTCTGGTCATGCACATCTCAAATCCAAAAGCCGCCAGACATATAGGATAGCCACAGGCCGAACAGGAAAACAACCATGCAAATATAACATTCACTTTTGTTGCCTTGGGGAAGCCTCTTTTTGTCTCTCAATTTCCTTTATCTAGTTCTCTGTCGAGAACTACGTGGCGCCTGCCATTCAGCGATCAAGCTGAGAGTGGCTTTCAAGGGAGTGATTCCTGCTCTTGTAGACCTGGCAAGGAACTGACAGGCTATAGCTTCTTGTCAAGGTTCGTTGGTGGCTGCAGCTTCTGCTGCCAGATGCTCGCCTTCCTTGGGATGTTCATCTCCGCCTGTTGCGTTCTTCGCATAGATTCCATCAAGCGTGACGTTCATGGCGCCAGACTGAACCAGCGCACTCCGCAGATCATCCAGGAGATCCTCTCCGTCCTCGATCCCAACACACAATCGGATTAGGTCTTCGGGCACGCCACGCTCTTTGCGAGTCTTGGCATCGATGCTGGCATGGCTCATGCGGCATGGCATGCTGATGAGAGAGTTGACGCAGCCGAAACTCACGCTAATGGCCCATAGTTTCGCGGACTCGACGATCCGCTCGGACAGTTGGACGTCCCCGGTCTCGAATGACAAAACAGCGCCGGGTCCCCGGGCCATTGAGTGGAAGAGGTCATACTGGGGGTGACTCTTCAGACCTGGGTACCGGACCTTGAAGCCCGCGGATTCAAGAAATTGGGCAATCATCATGGCGTTTGCTTGCTGTGCATCCATGCGGACTTTTAATGTTTTGATTCCGCGCATGAGGAGCCAGCAGTCAAACGGAGCCAGGCCGCAGCCTGAGGCATTGATGGTGAAGTAAAATTTCTCACCCAGCGCTTCGTCGTTGACAGCGAGGACACCAGCCATCAAGTCGTGATGGCCTGACAGATATTTC